GAGGTGGTTGGAATTGATCCGTGTTTGTTTTTTTTAATAGATATGTTAAGGGCATTTCTTTGGTTCGTACGGTGCTCCGGAGTAGTCCGAACTCCGCATCACCGCGGGTTCGTTTAATATCTCCAGTGGCGCGGCGCCCGAGGCGTGCTCACGAACCAGGCGCGAGGGATGCAACTCACACGGAGCTTCTCTTGGAAAACGATCATGGCAACCATGAAGGCAACAAAGAAGCGTCGTCGCCTTGAAACATCACCCTAAGAAAAAGGTCACCTATGAACCAAAAGGTGTTGGTTAAACCCAGTTTTTGTGCTGCGAGGGCGTCAAAACATCAGAGACCCCACGGGGTAGCTTGAAAGGACACCCAATAGGACTCGCTTCGAATGGCAGATGGTGTCCCGAGCTTGCAATGGCACCCTTCATTTTGTCGCAAGCCAAAGCCGAGGTCCGCAAGCCCGCACCATTTCGGAAAACTGACCGCTTAGGTCCCAACTTGACGAGTTCAGTTTTGGGCGTCCTCCAAAGTCTCATCAGTTCGAGGCTCCAGACATCTCCGGACTGCGTTTCCTTTGTGTTTGTGCGGTGTGTGGCTGTGTCTTTTTGTTGGACCGCGCAAAACGGGTTTGCTTGTTGGTTTCCCTTGAGGCGTTCAGTCTATCATATGTTAGAGTTGGCCTTTGAGCTCCTGGCGCGAGCCCTTCCAGAGCAAGGTGGAGCCGAGACGGCTGACACTTGGGTTTTTCTTTGATTCGGCCGTGGGTGAGAGGATGTTCGGGAAGTGCAGGCCCAGCGCTGGCGCTCGGGTGGATGGTTGCTTGATGACGTCCTCTCCGGCTTCCGGACCCCCGACCATCGGGAGGCGGAGATCATGATCGGTGATGAAATCTTTGTAACGCTCTGTCGCTTTTCCTTTTATCACCTGCAGGTTCAGTCGAACACAGATTTGCTTTGCCTGGCCTTCTCCCTGGACACTTGGTTTCGTAGATCGGGCTTTGACCCACACAAGGTATCTCCGAGATCATCGAGCTTTGCGCAGGATTTGGTGGAATGGGCATCGGCGCGGATTTCCTACACAGCCAGGCCAGACCGTCTCTCAGCGTCGACAGCAACCAGCTGGCTATCAACCACGTGCTCAGCAACATGTGTTGAAGGTGAACCTCAACCATCTGGATGCGGCTCGCCTGATTCATTAGAGCTGCCTTCCTGGCTCTCCAACGGCTCTGACGGGGTTTCCTTGCCAGCCTTACTCAACGCACGGCCACAAGCTGGGGGTGTTGATCCCAGAGCGCAGACCATGTGGCCTGCGCACGATCTTTATGCTCCAATGCCAAGCTGCCATTCTGGGGCGTGTGCCATCGGCAGACAAGCATCCGCCAGGGTGCTTAGGACCGGCCCAAGTTTGGACCTGCTTTAAGTCGAGCTTACTTGTGTGGCCTGTCGATGTTGTGAAGCTTCAGCAATATCGGGTGACAACAGATGGTTCTGTTGCCACACAACATTGGTCTTTTCACCAGGACGTCGCCCCGGAAGAGGATGCTGAACAACCTCAAGACTTGCTTTCAAGTCCATCGCTAACTGGACCCAGGGCATAACTCTCACATCGGGTTTCCTGAACAATGCTCTATGATCCGCGTTGCTGGCATGGCCATCCTGGATTGGTCGCTCCATGTTTAACAGCAAGCTTGCGCCAGCCAAGCTCAGACCGCCAGCTTCGTGGACAACCTCGGCATCACTTGCAGATAAGCGTTGGGGGTCGCATCGGTCCACTTCTTGCTCAAGTCTTCCTTGCCTTGTGGGGGCCTTTGGGACGACGAAAAGACCTACACCTGGGGCACGTCAGTTTCCACGCGTAGTGGAATTCAACCTTACAGTTCCCGGTTCTTCGTGAAGCCAAAGAACTTGGAGAGCCGTGCTCTCCGCTCGGCGAAATGCAATGTTTCTTCAGCGAGGGGAACATGCTGCTCCCGAGTAGGAAGGCTCCATCCAAAGCGCCAGTGGCCGCGAAGCTTGCGGCGCTCCCTACTGCCATCTGGTCGAGCATTCTCCACAGTGCTTCTGGGGTTGTAGTTGCGGAGGGCCACATCAAGAAGCCCCGCGCCGCACCAAGAAGCTCCGACGTTTGGGATCTTGGCTCGTTAGGTTTTGGCCCGCTTGGCTTGGTTGAGCTTACATTCCTCCTGGCTAGAAAGGATGGCTTTGTATTTATAAGGAAACAAAGTGACGGTGGCTGGGATCGTTCTCCACTCGGCCAACCCTGGCGTCTGATCGGGGTGGTTCCGGTTGCCTTTTCCTCTTTGTTCGTGCTTTGGCCTTGGGTTTCTTTTTGGCCCCAAAGCTGGGTCGATCCCAGTATGGTGTTCTGAGAGTTGATGGACTTTTGCTACGTCTCTCATCCGCGAAGCGTGCGGAGGCGACCAACTTGGCTCACCGTTTTTCAGGCGACAGAGGCGACGCAAGGCATCTGACCTTGCGCGGCCCTGCTAGCTGCGTGGACTCAGACCTGGGTGCCGCACTGCCGCTGCACGCATCCAACCGAGCGAGGTCCGAGCTAAAGTTGCCCTTTGAACAAGTCCAAACCTTCTGATCACATGATGGGTTTCGTTTCCACCACTTCCGAAACCGAGCCGTTTCTTTGAAGTCCAACATAGCCTTTCCAGATAGCCATTTTGCTGGATTCTTGCCCCAATTGGTGGGATTCGTGGTTTGGAGATTGGGAGCTAGCATTCTGTTTGGTTTCAAGAGGAGGCAGGACTCAAATCCAAACCTAACCCAATCCAAGCGCCGTGCTTGGTGATTAACGGCATTCAAAACGCAAGAGAAAAGACCCGCTACTGAGGTCCAAACAAACTCTAGTCTGCCATAGTCTTTGGAGAACACTTCTGACTTGGATGGTCCATAAGTTAACTCAGTGGTTGGCTTTGACCCGTGCTAAGCCTGCCTGTGAACCCATCAATCTACTAACAATTTTGTATCCTTTGACTATCCAATTCAATACTTGGTTTGGTGAGGCCCCAAAACTGACTCAAAAGGGAATCGTCTAATATTTTTTGGGCCATTTTTGGCGAAGAAACTTTTGCCTTCAAACAAGACTGGACCCCTTGTTGGCTACGAAGACCAGATCAACGATATTGGTTGCAGGTTGGTAGGTGTTAATCAGTATTCTGGTGCCAGCTACCTAGATCGCCAAGTTGCTGTTTGTTTTAACAGGCGCATTGCCCTTTCAACAGTCAAAGTTGGTGAAAGCAGCTTCCAGGGTAGGGTGGGTCGCCCATTGTTGGACCCACGCAATCTTGGTGCTTTTCTTTTTGGTGTCTCCCCAAAACCAAACAAAGGCACCCTCAGAAAAAGACGAACCACCCAGGTGGTTGCCCTCAAACGGCACATTGAGGCATCGGCATCCCTCGTCAGCCAGCCAGGGCGGGCTCGTGCATGCGCGCACGCCTATGCAGGACATGGTGCGCCTGGCATGGATTGCCAAGAATCTTCCTTATGTCGCCTAGCCTCCAGTCCACACGGAAGCATACGTTTCGGGGCCCTGGAGGATTTCCTTCAAAGAACACCCCCATTGCAGATTTTCCGTGCTAGACTGGAGGGTACCGTGATTGCAACATCAGAGGGAGCATGCTTTGACTGGACACAGCCTGTCCCCTGGCAGCTCAGAAAGCGAGTCTGGTTATAGCTGGGGCCTCAAAATCAGGGATCCCCCATTGGGGGCGTTTCCATGTTGTTTGGATTCTTTGCACAACTTGTTTTGTGAATGACGCACCCGACTTGGATAAATGGTGGTCAGGTGGCCCGCATGCTTGCAAATCTGAGTGGGTGACTGCCACAGGCAGAATTGGGGTAGCTTGGAAACTCCCTTGGTTAACGACCCCCCACCATCTTAGAAGATTTTTATTGGCCTGCATGGGTTGAACATTGGTGGGCTAGGGTTGACCTCGAGCCTGCCCGAAAGCGGCGGATAAAAGTGGTTGGGAAGGTGCAGATACTTAGCGCGGCCAAAATAACCAAGTGAATTTGCTCCTCGGCACGGCAGCTGCTCATTTCGAAGGGGCCCCCTTAACCAAATCTGGCAAATTTGTCTTCCCAAGGTCAAGACCAGGGAGGTTACGCCTGATCTCGAAATTTTCGGGGAATTGTTTCGATTGGACGGAAGGATGCCTTGTAAGAAAACATGGTGTGTGTGTGTGTACTGTTTGTTTTTGCCTGGATTCGGCCGCTAGCTCGCTTTGGCCGCCAGCAATTCCGGGGGTGCAACTGTGATGTGCACTCGGGTTGCCCCTTGTATTCGTCAGAAACTGTCGGATTCCGGTGCAGCCAGGACCCTGAAGGCTTACCATCTCTTCTCTTGGCGTGTTTGTGTTTTGCTGATTTGGTTCTGTTCAATCTCAAGGGTCTGCAAGGACATACAATTCTTCACATGACAGAAAGGGGATGATGAATTTACGCCTTGTCCTATTTTTGTGGGTGATTTGATCTTCAGAGATGCTTGCAAGAGACTAGTCGCGTTAGAAGTCAAAACCATACTCCTTGAGGGTGCCTAATTGGTGCCCGGCTCTGCATGCAGGCTGGCCCTCCCTCATGACCATGAATCCACCAGTCTCCCGCAGAGAAGGGAAATCAGCATTTGTGTGTTGTTCGGCCAGTAATGTCTGGCTCACTTCTGGTCTTGTCTCTGAACAATTGGGGAGTGCGCAAGTCCGTGCGCAATGTATGGTGGAATCATGCCACGCATTCGTGCAGCGCATTCAGGCAAAGTGCCCGGAAAACATTGCACACAATCAATACATGTGCTCACTGGTTTGCTTGATGAGTGTACCAAAGTATTCACGGCGTTGTCTTGTGCTGTGTTGGCGACTGAGACAGCGCAGCTAAGTTGAGCGGGCGATGAGCTGTTTGTGTTTAGACACTTTAGACAGAATGATCGTGAGTGGTTTTTTTTCCCACTAGTTATTTGAAGGCTTTGTTTGCTGCTTCAGTGCGATGGATTGAGATGACCGATCAGTCGTTGCTCAAGCCATCGTGACGCTGGACTGCTGCTGCGCACTCGGGCAGCAATGGATGCACCTTTGTTGTCGCAGAAAGAGCTCCAAATGCCAAAAGGATCTTCGTGGGCCGCACGAGCGCCCTACGTTTGGCAGTCTCTTGGCGCGCACATAGCAGCATGCTTTTTGATGAACCCATGCCACAACCAGCACTGCTTGCAAGTTTGCTAGTTCGTCATTTCAGGCTTTGGTTGGCGACGTTGGTATTGGCTTTCTACAGCATTATTGCTATTCATGCTGACGATGGGCCAGTTAGATGGCTTGCAGCGTTTTCATGCTTTACGCTGCCCGTGATTGTGTCCAGCTTTACCACCCATGATCCAACACAGAGGTGGATTGATGTGTTCACCACACTCGCGGCGACTGGATGGAGCTGCTTGGTCGTTGGTTCCTTCGCGTGGGCATTAGGTTTTCCTGGAAGCCATTTGATGCCATGCGTTCTATGCGTGGGACCATTTGTACATACATTCACTGTCACTTCAATCTATTCCAGAGCAAGCGCTTACCATGTATGGCCTGGAGGGGTGCTTCTTGTCCGCGCATTCTGGGACCCACCGCTTTTATTCTCTGGCTACATGTTCGACACGTGCTGTTCGCGACGTGTTGGGCGCCCATACTTTGCGAACGGAACAGGAGACGGCAAACTTTCGTCGGTGATCGTCAATGAGAAGCTGCTGATGGGTGGGCGCCCGCTTGCAATGCATGTGGAAGAGCTGAAAGCAGCAAACGTTGGCTTGGTGGTAAACATGACAGCCGAGTGGCCTGGCCCAGCGCATGAGTATGAAAAGCAGGGCATCAAACAGATTCGCGCGCCAACAGTGGATACCATACCACCAGCAGCTCAAGATGTGGAAAGAGTTGTGCAGGAAGTCAAAGACTTTCTATCTTCGCAAAAGGGCGCTGTGTACATTCATTGCAAGGGTGGCCGCACTCGTGCTGCTTGTATGATGGCGGCGTGTTTGGTTCAAATTGAAGGCATGCCGCTGAGCGCGGCTGTGGCCCTGATGCGGCAAAGGCGTCCGGTGGTCGACCAGAGCGTCCAAGGGTTCCCTTTCCTGATCAACATGGAGCGGCGCGGAGCTGGCGGAGCATGATGAGCCATGCCCAAAGATTCGGATTTGTGCGCGCCTAAAGCCGGTGTTTGCCCGGAAGGACCATGCTTCGCGCAAGAAAGCGTGCGATGATACACGCACATGGGAAACAACGAATCTCACAACAAAGTATTTTGTGAATAGCCGCGCGTTGTAAGCTGTTTATTTTTTAGGTCCCCTCTTGGTTTTAAAGGGAATCCATCATTGCTGTATGTTTTTGGGTCAAGTGTCATCCAGAAGATGTCTCACGTTTGCCAGGAAGAGCTCTCGCAGCTAGTGCAGGCGCAGTCGTTGTTCAGTCGAAGATTTCGGCTGATGTGACTTTTTCTTTTTGGGAGGGGCCTAGGGACTCACCGAGTCAACGAAAGTGTCCAACCAAAAAAACCGTCGGGGACTCACTCTGACAAACATCAAGTAGTCTTGCCCGTAGCGCTTGCGAGGAACAGTCCATATTGTGCATGGACAAAATCCTGCACCAGTTGGTAGGTGCCTCGTCCCAGTTTCGATAGGGTTTCATTGGTCCCAGCTGGTACATTTGTCCATCGAGACACGATTAGTGATATTTCCTGATACGCGTGTTTCTCCAAATGTTTGAAGGGAGGCCAGGTGTCTTTCTGTTGGATGCCCGACTGTCTAGGTGTATGAAAGGTATACACCCCACTTCCAAGATCCAGCTGGAAGTGCCTACACCATCGCTTTTGGACGTGCCTAGACCATTGCCTTTGATCTTAAATGACCGTGTTGCTGTGGTTGTCGCCGTTGTTGTTGCCTCTTGGCGGGGTGATGTTTGAAATGGGCGTGGCTCAAGAACCCGGCAGTTCCAAAATGGGTTGCCCGATCGGCAAGTGGAAACATGGAAACCCAAATTCCTGCGGTGAAGCCCCCTCCTGGTCAATCTGGAGCCACACCCAAATGGATGTAACGCCTATATTGCAAGAGGATTTTCCTCAAGCAACAAGTGAGATATAATTTGGAGCACCCATGGACCAATGTGGGGGGTTTCCTTCGTGCAGCCCGCCGAAAGGCACGATGTTAAGCTTGGCGCATGCCAGGGTCGAACACAGAAACACAGAAACACCACCACACCCGCACCCACCCGTATCCACGCACACACACTGCACCGCAAGCAACACGCACAGCACGCGCGCACACCCCTTGTGAGATATGCGTAGGTGTATACATATATATATATATATATGTATATGTATATATTTGTATAGGAATAGGTATAGATATACATATGCACGCACGCACACATTTCTTCGTTCGGTTGGTCTTCCACCACCAGGTCCCGCTGACGGCCGGCACCGTGAACCGCGGCTCTGTGGGAGCCTTGAGCGGGCGCGGCCAAGGGGTCGGATGATGGAATGGGGGTTCTCGCAACAGCAGTCCGTGTGGGTGTGGGTCAAAAATAAGTGCCTCACATGCAAGCGAGGTAAATGGAAACAAGGACTAAAACCTTCGTGTTTTTTGGTGGTTAGTTTTGACCAGTAGAAAAAAGCCCAAAATGGCTGGTCGGTCTCCTTTCCAAGTGGCAACAATACCAACATACAAGAGGGGTTTGTGTCACAATTGTGATTGGGACCCTCACGCACAATCTCCTTGGGGTGAAGTGAGCCCAGAGAGGGAAGAGGAACGCGCCGCCGAATGCGAGTAGCTCAAGCAAACGGGGCAGAGGGGAGGTCTGATTGTAAGAGCTGCTGGAGTTCTCCGTGCTCCATGCGGAGCGCACTCAGCGGCAAGAGCCGCTTTTCCTGGAAGATTGGTGGCGACAACTTGACCGCGATACTGCAAGATATCGACGCCTTGGGCAATGCGAATGTGTCGACGCTCGGTGTGAGCCACATCTTGGAGGCTTCCGAACGCAGCGCAACATCAATGGCGAATGGACAAGCCAAGTTTTCCTTACGCTCTCGGGGAGCAAGTGATTTTGTCTATGGCTCATATGGTACAAGCATCTATTTGGCAAGGCCACCTAGGCAATCCCCCATTGTTTCATGATTTGGACCCTCGTAGGCTTGGGTTTGAGATGTCACATCATATTGGATGATTGTTTAACGGCAATCCAATAGAATATAGAGAGGACGAGAGAGAGAGAGAGAGAGAGAGAGATTCACTTGGATTCAGTAAGCCCAGGTATCCCCAACCAGGACCCCTTCTGGCGGTGCTCGAGTGGAAAGTCCCTTTACTAAACTGCCAACACAGGGGAACACAGACAGGGGCAGGAACCAAGGGATGGTGTACTAAAAGATTGAAGCGAGGTCGCCTGAGACATTGATAAGGTAGACTTCATCATGCTCACTGGTTGTTCTACGCCAGGTGATTGTGCTTCCCTGGGAGGTAAATGTACTTCTGCTACCGATTCCGGATGAATAGGGATCTCCCCGTCGTGTTCCACAACTTCGGGCTTCCCTTTTTGGCCGCAGAAGGTCGCATGATATTTGTCTCTCTTTTTTTTGGCGGGGGGCCCACAACAATTTCCGTTTTTTTCCCCCTTGGGTCTCCCTTTCAACCAAAAAAGGTACGCTTGACAAAGGACAACCCCATCACAAATCCTTGTCTTCAGGCTTAGAGGCGCAAAACCAGAGCTTCCATTTGCTTAAGAATATTCCCTTTTTTAATGTTATTTTCCCTTGTTGGTTTTAAAGGGAATCGATTTCACTACTGGCAGTATTTGTTATTTTTCCCTCAAGGGCTTAAGCAAATGGAAGAGGGCGGCGACCTGCGCCGAGGACATCATCGGAGCCGGCGTGGTGGCCAACGATTGGGCCGCCGTGTGCGGCGCCGGCCTCGGAAGCCAGAGATGCGCCGCGCCGAATTTGGAAGTGGTGGGTATGTCGTTTTGCTTTTTCTTGGAGGTTACCAGGTTGTTGTTTTTGCCTTTTTTGGTTTCTTGTTTTTGTTTTTGCTTTTTTTTGGAAGTTGTTTTTTGGGTTGGAAGGCTTTAACCGGAAACCCACATGAAACACCACCCATTTTGAGACCAAGCCTGTGCCAAACTTTGAACAAGTTTTGCCGTCACCAACAATCTGATCCAACAACACTTGGGTTTTTCATGGCCGGTGTGACTCTGTGACCATCTACGCCCCCGGGAAAACAACAAAAACAAAACAAACTGATGGAAACAAAAACGGGAGTTTCTTTTGTTAGGAGTCCCCACAAAGTGGTGGTTTTCCTTTTGGTCTCCCTTAAAAAACGACCAAAGAAGCCCCCAAATGGCTTTTCCATCGGACCTACAGAAGGTGATCGACTGTCGGGGTCTTGAGCACGACTCACTTGTGCGCCTTTCTTTTTTTCTTTTGATCCACCGTCGGTGTGGTTGGAAACCCCGTCAGGAAATTATTTGGACACTGCAAACTGGGACACGTTGGTGAGGCTTTTGCTTGTGAGCACTTTTTCTTGTCGCTTGTGACCCGCTTCTTCTCGTCGCTTGTGACACCTTATTTTGAGAGCTCTGCCTCTCGGCGAACCCTCTGCGGAGACTGTGCGTGTCGTATCACTCTCGCTATGCCGCCGTGCGATTTTTTCTTTAGCTCGGCGAACCCTATGCGGAGATTGCACGTGTCGAAGTGTTCTCGCTGCGGCGCCGTGCGTGTCGGCGAGCCTTCTGCGCAGATTGCGTGCGTCGAAGTGCTCGCCGTGCGAACTTTTGTTGAGCTCGGCGAAACCTCTGCGGAGACTGCGCGGTCGAAATGCTCTCGCCGTGGCGCCGCTCGAATGTTTGCGCGCTCGGCGAACCCTATGCGGAGACTGTTCCTGTCGAAATGCTCTCGCTGTGGCGCTATGAATATTTTTGTTGAGCTCGGCGAAAACCCTGCGGAGGCTGCGCCCTACCCCTTGCAAGCAAGCAGGACGCAGCTGCGCGTCCCATGCAGGACGTCACCGAACACTCCCCCGCTCCAGTTGACATCCAAAGCCCTTTTGCGTACAATCTCCCCACGGCTTCCCTGCGGGCACAGAGAAACTCGCGGGTAGCTTGGGGCCTCATGACTTTGACTTGTCGTCCTCGCGGCCGAGGCATGGACACGACCGCCACGGAGATCGGCGCCCGGCGGCCCAAAAGTTGTTTTTCCAGGTATCTTGGGTTGAAATGACGGGTTCTTGACAAGGAGGTTTCGGATTCGATCGCAGAAGCACCCATCAAGTCAAACGCTTCCTGCAAGCAAGGCGTTTTTCAGCCGATCCCCAACCCAAACTGGGAAAATACGTCCCCCCCCCCAACACCCCCCCTTCTCTGTACCCGCGCGCAGAGAGCGGGGTTTGATTGGGCCCCAAAGGCCCCAAGCATGGAAATGGGTGAGGGCTCGAGGTGGCTGGGTTCAGGCCATGCAGGTTCTCAGGTTCTCAGGAAGGAATCAGCCGAGTGGGGATGAACCTAGGGATCCTGTAAGGAAAGTTTCAGGCATGCTTCATAGGCTCAGTGCTTTGGGCCGATGTCAGGGGAAATAAAAGGAACCTGAAGCTTCTTCAGCCAGGCTTCCGGAGTTCGCCCAGAAGCTTCTCTCGGACTGAGGTGATGGAGAGCATTTTCAAGCTCCAGAGTGCAGGATCAGGCCCGCTTCTTCTTGGTTGTCTCCTCCTTCTCCTTTATAGTCTTTGTTCTGATTTTCTCCGTGCTTCTTCCTTGTTTTTTTATTTGTGAATGTTCTGATTGTTGTTCTTGTACTTTTTCCGATCTTCGTTCCGCTTCTTCTTCTGCTTCTTCTTCTCCTCTTCCTCCTGCTTCTGCTCAATCTCCGGCGTTTTTTCTTTAGCGTTGGTGGTTTGCATGTTGGCATTTTGTGAGGAGTCAACACAAACAGCTGCACCCCAGAGGGGAGCCGTGCCCGAGCCAGTCCCTTCTAATTTGTTTGTTTGGATGGACGGACTGTCTCTCCCTCCAGCCACGACGTGATTGTTCTCAGTACCCCCTACTCCAAATACCCGCTGTAAAAAGGGTACTTGTGCTACTTCGTGAAAGCCCAAGATGTTTATGGTAATACTTGATGGTCTGGTCAGGGGTTGACATCATAGATTCATCCCCTTCAGACGGGTAGAGATGATGAGGAATCCCATCGACCACTTCCTAC